ATATATACATATATATATAAATGCTACGATAACTTAGACTGGATTCCAAGTCTATAAACTTCGTCTTAGTCAGTTGTAATATATATTGACACCAATGGCGTTCCATATTGCGTAGACCCATGAGTGATGTACTTTAACGAATTCTAAAATAAAGCTCTGTCCACACTACAGAGCCATGTTAACGGTCCAGCTGAATCGGTTTTGGTCGGACCATTATTTCACCAATCGATATCGTTTGTATGACAAAATTGTCTTTTTGGCCTGAGCGTCGCAGTTACTTTCCTCCATGTGTACACTAGCCTATATCAGCACACACATACCCGGCACAACCCCATACGCCTACTACACGGAAAGGTTATTTTCTAAAGATTATGCGAAATTGACTACTAAGAAAGTGGAGAAAATGTTTAAAAGTATATGCAACATCTTGTATTTTTCAAACAGCCTTTTCCAAAGAATTATTATAGTTCATTGGAATTTCAAAAACTTATCATTAATTTGCACAGACTTGGCATGTCTTTGTATTGAATAAAACAAAATTTAAGTTAATTTACTGTTACAGTAAGCTGTATTATAACACAAATACATATTCCAATGCAAATATATTTTTTTAAATACAGTTTGCCCTCCAATTTGAGACCACCACTGTGACCTAAAACTTGGGGTGGTCTCGGGGTTCATGTGCTCCTTGATCCATGTTCATGATTTTTTCTTTGTTGTGCCTTATATACAATCTCTGATCTGCCTATCTTTTGTTTGGGTTCTTTTGCTAGTATGTTAATTATTAATATAATTATTATTAGACTAATACTTGTTTGCTTGATACTTGCTTTATGTTTTGGGGTCAGTTGTTGGTGAGCTTATAGCTTCTATGACCAAGGAGGAATTTTTTATCAACAGTAGACGTTGGGGTTTTCATTGAATACAAATATTTTAACCCATGCAAATAAATTGAAATAATTGATGATGATTGTCATTGTCACTATGTATAAATGATATTCCCTAAAACTAATTCTTAAAAATTACTTGTAAAGCCATTTATTTTATTCTTACTGTTATTTATTTTATAGGTTCGAGAAAGAATTTTGCAATTAAGGTCAAACCAGTGATCATTTAGCAAATATTTAAATTCATTTAAGCTTGTTGGCATTTGTATACAAACTGTGGATGGCAGACTAATCTAGCCCTGCTTTTATATAACTTAAGCATATACCCAGTCTTCCGAGAGTTATCGGAATATAAAAAAAAACTTATGTCAATAATTGTCAAAAAGGCCATTGTTAAAAACTTGAATCATATCTGATCTAAAACGTCTTTATATAGTTACAGTCGGTAAACCTAAATACTTCAGCCTGTCAGTGTATTGTAAATGTTTTAATTCAGGCAATATCTTAATATTTGCTCTTCTAGGCACCTATTCAATTCTTTTAATTAACACCGTGAGGTGCCCAAACACAACAGTTAGGGGCCTACATTCTAAAATAAGACGAACTAAATATTTGTATAATGTTAAAAATCATGTCCTTATCATTATAAATGAAGATTCTTTTTATATGACCTACTGTACCATTTTGTTAGCATTAAGAACAGAAATATTTATATGCTAGTCAAATTTCAAATTACTATCATAATATAGGTTTATTGAATATAATAATTCATTAAATTGACTACTAAGCTAAATTAGATAGTCTGTTCTTGTAAAACTGCATGACCAGACATAGATAAGACGTGCGTAGACGATAAATTATGAGCTTGAATCTTGATATGAAAATAAGTACGCACTGAAGGGTTTGCTAAGGTATATTGGCGCGAAGTGATAGTCTTACCATAGAGGAATAAGTCTAAAATTATTCCTCCATGGTACTTACCTCATAACTATCTATGCCGCGTACTAAACTGAAGAAACTGTGATTAAATTATAATTAGGCCTAATATAAATGTTAAAGCCAGACTCAGGAGGAAAGCATTTTTGATATGTTGTACGATTCATTTTTCTAAGATATAAAAAGCACGTTTGAAAAAAAACTCTTGAGAGGTTAATGAGATACATATTTTTGAAAATTTAGAAACGGGGGAAAAGATGGGAAAAGAGTGGTTACGCTCCCTTTCCCCCAGTTTTTAAAATAATTATTTAATTAAAAATTTATAATTCGAGGTTTTCGTCAAATATGCTTTTAGTGTCTTAGACAACATATCAACAATTTTTTCCCTCAGGTGCCTGGCTTTAACAGCTAGTTGCGAACAACACTCTACTCGGGGCCTTGTGTTTGGGAAATATTGCGGCTACCGGTGTTCTTGCTTACTTTTGGATTTAGATGTATTTGCTTTTCGTATCAGATTACCAAGTTTAAATCGTCATTTGTAAAAATAGTAGAGTCACATGCTACTGAAAGATAACTAAAAGTGCATTGCATTTAATTTACACTTCGTACATGCGACCATGCCCGAACTGCCAGTTAATTATAATGGTTTATGAACAAAAGTTTTCATGGTGATTTTATTTTGATCATGTCCACATAACTTCCATTACATGGTTATTTTTCACGTATTCATCCAGCACTTCGACGCTGTAACGCTGACTAAGTTTGGCATTAAACAGAAGCATTGACGCAGTGCAATTCTTCCAGTGTTTACTCCTATTGTTGTTCATACTACAAATACCCAGTGACTTGCAATTATTTTGTCATTCTCTTACGACTTGTGGGAACCAATTTTGGTGGTGATATTTGCGCTTTAAACATCATTATTATTATAATATGACCAAGCCTAAAACGAAATCTCTAAACACGTTGTTGTTTAGTGTTTTGTTGATACTTTATGTCAAGGCACAAAACACCATCAACGAAAAGCATGCAGTTGTATTAGACGAAGAATATGAAGTCTTGTTAAAGTGGCGAATTGATGGAGACGATATCTTCATTGAAATGAGTGCTAAGACTCAGGGATACGTTGCTATTGGATTTTCTCCAAATGGTGGAATGCCTGGCTCTGACATTGTAGCTGGATGGGTAAAAGACGGCAAAGCATTTTTATCTGTAAGTCTTATAATTAGTGACAATTAAAGGTATACATAGATCATTAATTTTTCAGGCCTATATCAGATCAGGGTTCTGAGATGCCCTATGGCTCCGCTCACTAATGGTCCCGTCGGGAAAATTTGACTTTCCGTCTGAAGCATTAGACCCCACATCGGGAAAATTGATTGTCGGGTCATTACTGGACAATGAAAATGTGTAGGCCTATCCTTGATTTAAAAGCTTTATTTATTTAGTTATTTCTTGTTTAGCCTGGGTTAGCAACTCAGTTGAAAACCAACTGTTATGCTTTATGCCCAGGATACGATACACAAAACAATAATCCTAATCTACTTACTTTAATAGTAATAATATATTTCATAACAATAACATTAATGACAACAGTAATAATAATAATAATAATAATAATAATAATAATAATAATAATAACAATAATAATAATAATAATAATAATAATAATAATAATAATAATAATAATAATAATAATTATCATCACTATTATCTCAAGTTAAGCGAGTAAATTGTTTTAACTGTCATCTAATAACAGATGACAGTTAGTAGACATAATATTTGCCTTATACAGAGAACAACGCACTTATAAATTTAGGATAATACTGCCTCTGTAAGTTAAATTAATAAATTCAATATTTAGTTATAAATACACATTTAGGCCTAAGTAAAATAACCATTAAAAAAAAATACAGTAATAAATTACAGATAAACAATTCTATCACCTAAACATGTATTGGATTTAACTTGTGTTGTTAATTTTGTATGATAGGCCTATTAAGCCTATCCTTTTCCATTTGTTTGACGAGATTTGATTTTCATGATCTAGCATTTTCAGAATGAATATATAGGCCTAGTCGGTTTTTACGTTGCACAGGCTTATTGAATAGACCTACCCCTTCCTGTTACACCAATATTAACATCGTCGTAGTAGAACGCTGCCTTTGAGAAACACTGTAACACTCGGACTAGATTGTATTATAGGCCTACATTACACTAGCCAACGGAATAATCAATTTTCATCATACTGAATGTCATAATACTTTGAGTATAGACAACAACTCAATATGATTTGCATATGTTAAGAAGAGACAACTCGTCATAACAATAATCAATATCTCTATGGAGACAATTTGGGTAGATTTGTAAATATTCAAAAGATCATACAGATTTAGATAATCGATAACTTGAATTGGAAGATTTTTTTCAACAATGTTTGCAATAGACATACTGAAAACAAACCTATAACTACTGTTTAATTAGGCCCTCTTGTTTAATTGGCACCATTTGCCTTTGCAGATTGGTACGATTCGTGCTAACTTCCCATCATCTAGATAATTGCTATAGTAGTTTAACGCATATTAAAACTATTAGAGATGGTTTTACGTGAATTAAGAAATGAGGAAAATTTAAAAACCATTGTATAAAAGTTAAGA